TCTGAGAGAGTTAGCTAATTCCCAAGTTACAGGGACAGTGAAGGGAGGGGTTGCTGCCATACCAGGGACCCACACTCCCAAAGTGCCTCTAGCTAAAGGGATGCTGGAGTATCCCACAGACCAGTGACAGTGCGGGCTAGGTGAGGGTCAGCCTGTAGTGTGTGCTGGCCTCAGCAGTTTAGAGAACCTGGCAGATTATCAGAATATGCAAATTCTGAGATCTGTCCCAAGAGTGATGCATTCACCAGCTCCAGGGACCTGTGGGTGAGAGGGACCTGTGGGTGAGGGGGGACCTGTGGGTGAGAGGGACCTGTGGGTGACTAGGGCTGGGGCTGATGGGAAGGACTCCAAACAGCTCAGGGAAGAATCCACAGAGAAGCAGCTTCCACGCTCAAGGAACACAGCAACCAGGACATGCAAGCTGAGTCGGAACTGTGCTGCCCCCAGAATTGTTCTCCCCATAATTCCAGTCCTGGAGGGAAAGGGGAGGAAGTACACAGGTGGCAGCAGAATGGGGCTGTCCCAAGACCACTGGAGACAGAAATTAAGGCACCTCAAAGTGCCAGCTCAGGTTAACAAGGTCACAACCGTATCCTCTGACATAATAATGCCCAGTTTTGTAGGGGCAGGGGGTGGCCCTATACAAACATTAACCATGTGATCTAATACTAGGAAAAAAGTACAAAGGGGTTTTTGTATGTGTGTGGTATATACGGAGGCTTCAAAAAGTTCATGGAAAAATTTAAGTATTTTTAGTTACATTTTTCATAAACTTATACTGTCCTGGTATTGCATTGCAGGATAACGCACTAGACCATAAGGTCAGTTTGAACTGTAGGGTCACTGGTTCACACTCACCAGCAGCTCCTCGGAAACCCCGTACAGAGTCGCAGAGTCAGAACAGACTTGATGGCACTGACAATAATAAACATACGTGTGCACATGGACAATGCATAACCACCACAATGGGCTCAGGTACTATCATGAAGACAGTATAGGACCCGGCAAAGGTCCCAGTTGTCAACTCAATGGCAACTACACACAATGTGTGTGCACGTACGCCTCTGTGTATGTGGTGTGGGGAGCTCATTCACGTTTCTTCTAGCCACAGTCTTTGCAGCCTCCACCCAACACCATTCTCCTGATGGGTCTGGGTAAAAGGAGGCAGAAGATGACACTGTGGGACGATGACCAGATTCAGCTATGGATGTTAACAGAGTTCAAACCTCCTCCACCCAGGGACGAAAGTCCTGGTGTGGCGCTGTGGGTTAATGTGCCAGACTGCAAAGCCGTTTGAACTGCAAGCTCACCAGCTGCTCCTTGGAAACCCTATACGGGGTCACTGTGGGTCAGAACCGACTTGACAGCACTTAACAACAACTTTAACTGAATCTCAACATACATTCTTATGTTAATTTGCAAATCAGCCTGAACAGATCACAGTGGCCTCCCAGAGATAAGGAAAAGGGGCTGGACAAGGGGGCAAAGGGCTTTTTTAATGCTGTATAAAGTCCAGTGTTTATCCTGGCACAGTGCTATAGTATAAGTACTAGACTCCACGGTTCAAACCTAGCAGCCACTCCTTGGAAACCCTACACAGGGTCTATATGAGTCAGAACCAACTTGTAGGAACTTAACAACAATCCTATATTGTGGAATGATTTCCTCAGTTTATTTAAAAGGGAGGAGAGAAAAGCACAAAATCTTGGACCCCATTAGCAAGTCTCTCAACCACAGCCTCTGGAGATGGGGCTGCCCAGAAGTCCTGCCGCCTGCCCCTCGTTGATTCCAACAGAAGACACTTCCCAAAGAATAAACAGACCTTTGAAATTCCTCTAGAGAGGAAGTGACTAGGTGTAAACATCCCACACTTCCTTCAGGACTCTGCTAACAGAGAAGCCATACTTACACAATCCCAGAGCTATCTTCACAGACGTCAATGTGCAATGTAACCGGCTTTGTGCAGAACAGGCCAAACTTTTTCGCTCTATAGGGCAGCTGCATAAAAGTTTCCACTGCAACCCGGATGCTTAGTAGTGAGACATAAGCAGTTCCATTAGAAGAAAAAGCACATACACTAGACATCTTTAAAGTACACTTATGTATAACAAGGATACATGATTTCAAAAACATAATACACACACAAAGCCCCAATTCGTTGTTTCCAATAATGTTATTGCTGTTAAGTGCCAGAGAATCAGTTCTGACTCACAGAGTCCCTGTATAGGGTTTCCAAGGAGCAGTTGGTGGGTCTGAACCCGCCACCTTGTAATGAACAATCCAGTGCTTATCCTACAGTGCCACACCAGGACTTCAATATAGCGATCAATAATAAGTTTTTGGACAAATTATGGGATAAAAACTGGTTCTTAGAGAGTGAAAAAAATCTTATAATATATAAAGCACAGAAATATATTCAGTAAAAAATCCTGGTGGTACAATGGTTAAAGCACTCAGCTGCTAACCAAAAAGTCAGCAGTTCAAACCCACCAGCTGCTCAGTGGGAGAAACCTATGGCAGACTTGGAAACTCTCTGGAGCGTTCTACTCTGTCCAATCTGGTCACTGTGAGTCACGGTCCACTCCACAGCAGTGGGTATACACAGAGTACACACACCCACATTCAGTGTACCTGAATATTAAAAGTGCATGGGAGGGGTAAAAACAGTCATTTAACAAGGCTCCTTAGGGGATGATCATTTTTAAATGAAAAACACTGTGTAATAATGAACACACCTGTGAACCACAGGCTATTAAATATGTTTGAATACTGATTTTAATATAACCAGAATTACCTTCAAGTTCCTATAAATGAGCAGGTATTTTAATAATTAGTGTTTGCCAACTCTGCACAAAAGAACTGACAGACTGAGATTTGGTTAAGCTCAGCATTTTTAGGTCCATTCTTCTCTCAGATATACAACTATAATAAACTGAATCTCATCCCTGGATCTTCTTATGCCTGGTGTGGGCAGCCTGCTCATCCTTTGTCTTGAACACTTTAGAAATAGTGTACTCACTGCTCCTTAAGGCCTCCCTGAGCTCTACTTAATCATAGGATTCTCTTATTTATAACAAACAAAACTTAAAACACCAAGTACTAAAATAAAACTCTCACAAAACAGTTTAACAACAATGATTTTTGCAGCAATGATGATTAGAAATGTACCTACTATAAAAATCCCAATGTCTGATAAGCCCCTCTGCCAAGAAATTCCTCAAGATAAATCTCTCACTGCAATTTGAATTTGGTGTTGCTCTTTGTTTTAGTGAAAGGTGAGTCCTCCTGCTTATTTATTAAACTGATATCCTGTTACTTTGGACATTAAACTATGAACATTATCTCCACACAGCAAAGCTGACCTACTGTGGCCCAGAATCAGTGAGGACTGCACAGCCCCGTTCCCAGCACCTTCTGAACCATCTTCCCACTTCATGCACTAGGCATACCCAGGCCTTGTGAAGTGAGCTGTGTTCACATGAAATCAGGGCAACCAGGAAGACACACTTCAGCACATGCTCTGCTATGTGCAGAGATGACAAGGGTGTCTCTGAACCTCCTGGTGATGTCTTTCTTGCAGCCAGCCTCCCTACCGGGCCCATTTCATCACAAAGAAATGGTAAGAGGACAGGCCAGGAGAGCAGGCTGGCACAGAGCACTAAAGGGATCCTAGTACTAAAAAAGTAGGGAGCAGGGAGAAAAGACCCCAGTGGAAATAGCAGGGCCCCTGCCTTGCCCTTTCCTGGAAGGCAGGTGAAGGAAGGCCCACAGAGAATTAGAACCTGAAAGACTTCCTTTCTCAAAGCTAAACAGTTTTTGTTTCATCTTTTCTCATCCCCTCACTTTGAAAACTATCTCCATACAACCTGGTACTTGTCTCCACAAAGAATGATGTAAGGCAAAATAAATACGTACGTACTTTTTAGACCTGACTGGAATGTTCTTGGCAAAATCCACCAGGAAGCAGTCTGCCAAGCAACGGCCAGCTGAAGACATAATTGATTTAATAATGGCCCTGCACCAGCACTTTAGCTCCTGACAATAAACCACACAAACCTACAAAAGACAAAGGAGAGCAGTTTTGTTTTCAACGTCAGCATGGTTATCTCCAGTCACAGAATGAAAGCACTAAATGGTCCTCTCTCAGGGCCATCTCAGCCTCACAGCAACAGATAGCAGTCCAAGGAACCTCACGAGGCACACAGGACATCTGAATTCCAGTTCACGGGACCCGTTTCTAAAATGGTTTTATCTTCTCTCATGAAGGGCAAATTTTAGAAAGTAAAATAAGGAAGAAGTATCACTTTAGCCATTCTTAAATCAGAGGATAAAACTGACAAATGGTTATCAAACACATGTGCAGACCAAGATGAAAATCCAACTCCAGATCCTGCCCTCCTTCCCATGGCTTTGACCACCTTCAAACGCTGTAGGACGGAGTCCTTGTGTGGCACGCTACAGGATACTGCGCTGAACCACAAGGTCAGTTTGAACCACAAGGTTAGCAGTTCAAACCCACTAGCTGCTCCTCGGAAACCCTATATGGGGTCACTATGCGTCGGAACCTACTCAACGGCACTATAGGATAATCATTTGAACCACAGGTCAGTGATTCAAACTCACCAGCCGCTCCTTGGGAGATGGCTATGAGTCGGAACCAACTTGATGGTACTTTTTTTTTTTTTTACTGTCTGCTGCAACTGGCTATCAGCTCCAGAAGGGCAGAGTTTTGTCAGTATTGTCCAATGCCGTGTTCCATCACCTAGAACTGTGCCCAGTATATACGAAGTCTTAAAAGACTACTTGCTGAATGTCGACAATTCCCGTTAAGGGGGACCTACTCTACTGAAGTGACAGGCCTTGGCATCTGGATTGTACCAAAGACCACCAGGCCAACTGACTGGCAATCCACATACCAACAAACAATATGCTGAGGACCCACTTATAAAGTGGGCCAGTGGGGAGGGCTGTGCCCAAGCAGAGAAGCCGCAGGCCAGAGGAGACTCCTGTTCTCCGCAATTTATGCTACAAAGGGCAGTGAAGCTATTCTTCAAAGGCAGATTCCTAAGGCTTTCACAGAATTCAAATCCCAAATAACTCAAGAGATATCCTGATGAAGGAGGCAGCCTGTAGGGGTCTCAATGTGAGCTGAGTCAAAGTTTACAGGGCAAATCATCAGTTTTACATTCATCAAATCCTATACTGTGTTTCATTACAATGACTATAATCCTCTCCATGTACCATCAGTTTTGAAGCCCTCTGCTGCTGCTGCATGTCCTCAGAGGGTTTCCAGAGCTGTAAATCTTTACAAGAGCAGAAAGCCTCATCTTTCTGCTGTGGAACAGCTGGTGGTTTTGAACTGCTGACCTTGAAGTTAGCAGCCCAAGTTGTAACCACTGTGCTACCAGAGCTCCTTCTACACATGTGTTGTTGTTAAGTACCGTCAAGTCGATTCTGACCCATAGCAACCCTGTATAGGTTTTCCAAGGAGCAGCTGGTGAACTTGAACCACCGACCTTGCAGTTCAAACAACTTTGCAGTCTGATGCATTAGCCACACCAGAACTCCTTTTACACGCATTTAGTGGTTTCAAATTTTTTAAGCCATTTCCCTGTGGGACACAACTAAATCAACTAGAAGCCGGCGCTTATCCACAATTCCATTTGTATTCAGTCTTAAGTCTTCACTCATTTCTAAAGTTACTTAGGTACAAGTACAGGTGAACTTATTTCATATTTGTAATCCAGTGAAGATTCTTTTGTCACAATCTGTATTCCATCCTGAGTTTCTTCAATGTCCTAAATGACCTGTTTTCATTTGCATATGTTTACAACTCTTTGCCCTATAAAGTTCTATAAGAAGTCCTGGTGTGGCATCCCAACCCGTAATCCACTATATGCTATATACTATCGCTTCCTAATGTGGCACTATAGGATAAGCACTCGACTTCACTGTTGGTTTGAACCGCAAGGTCAGCAGTTCAAATACATCAGTTGTTCCTTGGAAACCCTATGAATCAGAACCAACTCCATGGCACTTAACAACAACAACAAATATATTGTAGCAATCCTGTATAGGGTTTCCAGATAGTGGCTGGTGGGTTTGAACCACCAACCTTATAATTAGCAGTCCAGTGTTTATCATACAGCACCGCACCAGGACTCCAGGACATTATACTCTTTCAGAGGAGAAGGTAAGGCATTCAAAATCATTGTAGTTTTGTTCATAGAGAATTTAAAAATTGTTTCTTATGTTTTATATATACTATTACATACTCATCTGAACAGTCCGTTTACTGCTGCAGAGGAGAATCAGGCAATGGGCAGAGAGCTGAGAGGGAAAGAAAGACGACTGAGGGAGATAAAGACGCATGTGCTGGCCAAGTCGTGAGAGCAACCAGAAGGAAAGCATCAGCCCTAGCCCATGTGTTCCTGCTGAGGGCCTACACCTGCACTGGCTCTACACTAAGGCCTTCCTCCCTGTTCTAGTAGAGTGGACTTCAATGGGATTCCATGGTACGGCCCCACCTGAACAGAACACAGCAATTTCCATGACTTGCCTAAAACCTAGGTACATAACCACCACCACATATATAACCAAAGGCAGTGCTTATCATTAAAATACTCAAAAGACTTTATTTTCTTAGTTGCTAAAATATCTTAAATTCTGAGCAGAATTTCAAAACACGGCCCTAAAGCACATTTAGATACATACCTGTCCTTCTTCCAACATTAGTGGTTTTATTCCTGCATCTTGACACATTCTGTTATAGAAGTCATTCATGGCACTATTTAATTTCTGATAGTCAAGTTCATGATCTAAAAAGGGACTAGATCCTTTTATAAGAACCCAGAAGCAACCTGGATCTTCAATCTGTAAAAAAAAAAAAAAAATTTTTTTTTTTAAACAAAACTAACCTCAGAGTCATGGGAACTGTTTCTACATTAACTGATCAGCACACTCTTAACAAATGCCTTAGTCTTCAACGGTCGGATCATAAATCAAAAATCAATGCTGAAATACTCAAGCATGTAACCAATATAAAAGCTATTCTCAATTATGGGCTCCAAAGGCAAACAGATGTCTTCAATTACCTGCATAAATAGCCACAGTAATATATAAAAAGGAGGATTCAAAACAATACTTTTCAAATCCTAGTTTTTGCAAGAAAAGGAAATATGAATATGTGTACATTCACAGGAGTCCTGGTGTGGTGCTGTGGGATAAAACACTGGACTGCAAGGTCTAGCTGAACCACAAGGTCAGCAGTTCAAACTCACCAGCCACTCCTTGAAAGCCTATACAAGATTTGAAACCCTACACAAGGTCGCTATGAGTCGGAACCAATTCAATGGCACCTAAACAATAACAACAAAATTCCAAAAATGATGGCAGATAAACAAAACAAAACAAATTATTATCTACATGAGAATGAAGAAATGTCAAAGAAAAGGCAAAGATACAAGTCAGCCTTTTCAAAGTATCTTACCTTACATTATGTTTTCGTTGTTAAGTACCGTCAAGCTGATTCCGACTCAGAGCGACCCTGTGCAGAGTTTCCGAGGAGCAGCTGATGGGTTTGAACCACCCACCTGCAGTCAAACTGATCCTGTAGTCCAGTGCTTATCCTACAGTGCCACATCATGCATGAAGAGGCTTCAATTCTATTTTTCCAGGAACTTTTTGAAGTCCTTTCATATATATAAATACATATAGAGATAGCGCTCACTGTAAGATAATGCACTGGACCACAAGGTCAGTTTGAACCACAAGGTCAGCAGTTCACAATCACCAGCTGCTACTAGGAAACCACATACAGGGGTTCTGTGAATCAGAACCAACTCAACAGCACTTAACAACATCAACAAATGCACATATACATATAGCCACTCCACAGGAGAAAACACTGCTCCCATCAAGATTACAGCCTCGGAATCTTACCTATAGGTAAGTTCTGCGATGTCACATTGGGTCACTGCGTCAGAAATGACTTGACTGCACACAGCAAGCATTCACTCTTACACCTCTGCTCTCACGTCAACTCCAACTCATAGAGACCATAAAGGACACAGAGGAACTACCCCATGGTGTCCCCCCATCTGACAAGCTCTAGGGAAGCAGACTGCCACAGCTTCTTCCCATGGAGTGTCTGGCAGGTTCACACTGTCAACCTTTTAGTTGATAGAAGACCACTTTAACCACTGCGCCACCAGGGTGCATTCTATTAGGAATGAAGACTTTCACTAATACAAAAAAGACAAATACAAAATGAAAGCTAATCTGGATTTAAAATATCAGTAAGTACGCATGATTTTTTTCTATTTCCTACCTGTATTTATTGAAACAGAGCACTGGATTGCTAACCGAAAGGTCCGTGGTCTGAGCCCACCAGTCCGAGGGAGAAAGACGAGGCTTTCTGCTCCTGCGAAGATTTAAAGCCTTGGAAACCCTACACTGGGTTGCTATGAGTTCAAACTTGACTCCATAGCAACAACAATCTAGTGAAAGATGTGTCCTAAATGGCAGGTGGCAGGACTATATAGGTGTTCACTGAACGTTTGAGCATTTTTTAATAATAGTTGGGAAAAACAACAGTTAGACGCTCTGATAAATGCAGAACAACTTAGATCTGACTAACCCACCTACAGGCAACAATGACAAAGCCTAAGACAAACTGCTAGCCAACAACTTGAGGGTGCTTGAGAACTATCAGAGCAGGGAGAAACAGGAGCGGATTCAGTCCTTGAAGAAAAGAAACCTAACCGGTTAAAATCCAAGTCCTTTTCTCACAGAACACTACTCCTCTGTCACTGAACCAGGAGCCCACAACCTTCTGGCTTGAGAAATCAGACAGAAATTTGGAAAAAGACTGCCACTGAAGGAGGGTCCCTAAAACTGCACCTAAACCAAAACCAAACCAAACCCTCTACCCTCAAGTAGGTTCTGAAGAATTGCCCCACAGGGTTCCAAGGCAGCAGCCTGAGAAGCAGCTGGTAGCTTCAGTTAGCAAGCCAGCAATGTAACAACTGTGCCGCCAGGCTCCTCATTTGCAAACAAACTCCCCGAACTGAGACTGTGTGAGGGAGACTTGAGTCTGGAGAAGCCCAAGAGATGAAGTTTGAGAGAAAAGCAGTTTTAGCTTATCATTTAGCACTGAATTTGGAACTTCCAGCTCCATACAGAAGCCCTGTGTACAACAGGCCCACGTCTTGTAAGCAGAGACTGTGTCGCCGATGAAGAGCATGAGCTCTAAGAAACCACAAAGGTCTGAAGACAAGCCCAAGTCACTTAAAGTGCTGACTGCCCTGTCAGTGGCTGAACTGCAAGCCCACAGAATCTATCACCCACAGCATAACACAACTAGCTAAATGAGTGTGATGCATCGCCATGGACAAATAGGAGTCAGATGTTAGAACTCAGACAAGGACTTAAAAGCAGTTACTAAAAATATGGCCATAAGGAAAAAAGCTGTAGGTAATTTTATAAACAACAAAAAAATAATAATTAAGGGGGATTCTAAGATCTCACCTAAGAAATGAAAACTATTTTAAAAAAACCAAAACGTTAACTCCAGAACTAAAAACAAAACACTAGTTTTGGTGCAGCATTGTAGATAAGGCTGTCCTGACCGATACAACTAGCCCTGAACATTTCTGACCCTGAGTTAACCCCGTAATTATGAGTCTGATGTTCTGAGTTCTGTGTTTTCTGTGTTCAGTACAATGAATTCTTGAACCCAGCTGAGGAGAGAGTACTGTGGGAGAGATGGTTGGTGTCCTTTCTGAATACACAAAAATGAACTCAAGATGGATCAAAGATGTAAATATACAACAATCACCAAAGAAAGAATAGGGAAAAACTTAAGGGCACTAGTACATGGAACAAATACATTATCAACCGTACCTAAAAACGAACAAACAGCACAAGGCTGGTGAGTCAAAGCCACAGGGGTTCCTCGGAAACGGTCTCAGGGTCGCTGAGCGTCTGAACTGACTTGACTGCACTGAACAACAACAGCTATGGTTAAAGCACTTTGCTGGTAACCGAAAGTTGGCAGTTTGAACCCATCAGCCACTCCTCCACAGGAGAAAGATGTGGCGGCAGTCCGCTTGTTTACAGATTTACAAGGCTGTAGGGAGCCCTAAGTCACAACTTGACAGCAGTGGGGTTTTAGGGTGCTCGCATCACTCCTACTCAGCATTGTGTTGGCGGTTGGGAAGGAATAAAATCATCTCTTATCACTGACAACAGCCCCTGCTCACTAAAAGTCAATATTGAGATTCCAAAGAGCAGGCCGTTATGTGAAAACTGGCACTATGAAAAACTGGAGGCATCGTGGAAGATGACCACATCATTACCTAACTGCCAAATTACATCATTACCTAACTGCCAAATTACATCATTGCCTAACTGCCAAATTACATCAT